CGCCCCCACCCCTGGACTGTTCACTTACCCCCTATACCGCATTGCCAAAAAGGACTGAGAGAAGTAGCATGGCGGCACGTGCTTGTACTGCATTGCTATAGCGACAGTAGGTGGCAGCAGCCACGACGAGGATGAAACCGAAAGAGGTCTGCGTCAGTGACGCAGTTGTTGTGATTTTATCGATCGACCCTGTGCGCGCGCACATGCGTCTACGTGCGCGTACGCACCATAATTAGTCGAGGATAGACGCATGCCTGCACATACACACACACGCTTGTGTATTTCAGTTTTTTTCTCTCCATCGTCCCTTGATTGGACATCTTGGTGGGTGGAGCGCTCCCATCGGTCTCCAGCACCTGATCAATAGTTCGCAAAAAGCCCGGAAATCGACAAATTTGGATGAATTGTGACACTAATTGACTTTAAAGACCCTTTACAACCGAAGTAAAGTATCAGCTCCTTTGCTTAATGACTTTTAGTGCAATTTGACTAGCCTTAATTCACATCACAGGGCGGGGGTAGTTTCAACGTCCGTATGGCATTTCACGTTTGTGAGTCATCTAACTACTTTCTATGATGGTTAAAAGTTACAACAAACTTGTATTTCGATGTGAATGATCCAGTTGTGCTGCTGAACAAATAGGATCTGTAAGTCTTGCATGGTGTTTTCCAACCCCATCGCATAACCCAAGTTTGGATGAGCTTGGGGTTAGAGCTTCCGCATGAGCATCAGCAGGGTAGCACACACAAGTTGTTTTTATGATCGTGAACGCATTCTTCACAGCCAGTCCTAATAAGATTTTCAATGAGAATTTTTGTGAATAACCTCTAACAGTTGTGCAAAATTACAAACACACGCGCTTCCATTCGCATCAAGAATCCATTTTCCACGTTAAGAACACCACTAAACACAGAATTTGGAGACTCTTTTAAACATAGAACTCTAAAATCGATCTTTAGGGAGTGATGAATAAGACAATTTAAATAGGGCACTATGATAGAAAACTGAACGTTTGTTGTTTTCGCTCACAGTGCTACCGTGTCTGCAGCTATCATGATCTAGCAGCCTGGGTGTGTCTTGGAGACTTAGCGGTCAATGACCCCTGCGATATTGTTATACGTTAAGTGTTTGTTTAACTCTTGATTTTGAAACCGAGGCACTTGAAGTCTCCGTCAATGTATCTTTGCCGGGCGGCCCGGCCTCTGGATCACGCTAGTAGCCCCCAAGCCTTTCGCCATATCAGCAGTACATTTCCTGCCCGAGCATTATGTCTTCTTTTGTCTCCAGGGTAGTCTCAGATAGGTACAATATAAGTACAATGATTAAAAATGTTTGAAGCCGTTACATTATGGGCAGAAGAGGCCATATTGTGACTCGTTAAAGGGAATGGCATATCGTGTCGGAACCACTGGAGCTACCTAGGTTACTACAGGCAACTATGTAAGATTGTTTGGTGCTAGTAACACTTTGCAAACACTGCAGGTAAACAACATAATCTCTGTTTCTAAAACAGACAAAGTAAGTTTTTGCTACAAAGCGGACAGGTGGTTTGCCATATTTGGATTATATTGTGGCTGATGGTTTAACGAAAAAACACCGAACCTACGCACCGCCTCAATCACCCCTTGGAGATAGTTTCCACTTGGAAGACAAATTTATTGTAACAGTCAAAGAATAAGCAACCTACGTAACTACATTGTCAAATTCAGAATTTAATTGAGGGTACGTTTATCCCTCCTTCGGCATCGTAGCTCAATTCAACCACCGTCCCCACGCTTTTAATCCCCTGGCAATACATGGCATCCACGAAAACTGAGAATGTAACAAAATCAGTCGGAAGAATTCTGTTGCTCAAAAAGTAACAAAAGCACTTCGAGAGATTTTGAGTTAATAGTCACTCTTTTGTTCAAGTAGCCCCTGGGTTGAACAAATAGATATCAGGAGATAAAATCATTAACCCTCCTGTCGTTCAATAAGGGAATCAGAAAATAAAGATTTAGAACTGCGTAGTTTGGAGAGTAGGCTTTTATGCGACAGACCACCATTTATTTGGAAAATGGATTTAGAAGGAGGGCGGCTGAAAACCAGCTGTGGAGCCTCGAGACTCCCCTTAAGGGGAAAGGAGGCACAACACTTGGGTAGAATATGCGTTGCAGACGTACAGAAGGGCTGGGGACTACTGGCATAGCCCGGGGGCCGTACCACCCAATGGAAGTACAAAAGCAAAGCCTTAAGTGCCCCGCGCAGCCGAAACGAGGAGTTGTACAAATGACCCAAGTATTACACTATCCTTTATTTTTTAATTCGAGAGAGCAAGAGTAATTGCCTCTTTGTAGCCCTTCTGGTCAGGTTTAACAATAATGGCCTTGTAAACAGAAATAATGTAAAATGGGAACTGTGTAACAATTTGATAAGTATGAGGGTTCGCTATGGTTAAAAAGTACGCCATGGACTCACAATACCCAGGGATGATGGCGGTGTCAGAGGTTGGCGTCAACAGTGAATATATGACATGTTAGAGGTGCAGTTGAAAAGCCAATCGTTGATCACAAAACGAAACCGACTTCACAATACAGATCCGTTTGTGGTTGAATAAGCCGAGTAGTTGGCATATGTATCTTATAAAATGAGTAAATCCCAATCACCATCCCCGTTTAGTCTACTTTAACTAAATTGGAAAACAGCTAAATAAGTGAGTCAGGTATTGGGGCTCTTCGTCGCTTTGTACTTGGTTGTTCATAGCTTTAACCAAAGGCGTGCAAGCTTTGGTATTGTAAAGTGCGCCTTTTTTAATAAAAAGGACATCAATTTGAATCTTGTGTGACCTCAAAAGCATTGATGCTCATGACCCTAGCCACCACATTATCACCCTCTGATGCGACAAAACCAGTGGCTTATTTGTTGTCATTTTAACCTACTAAGAGATGCACTTCATGCAACCTGGCAGGGCGCAGTAGCTACAAGTCATGCAATTATATATCGCCTGTGCATTCATCCACGCAACTCCACGAACAATACTTTCAACTCCTTTATAGGTCTTGATTGAGATCACGAACAAATTCAGAGGCTGACGAGACAAGAGACAAATTTGTGGCGGTTTTCCCCAAATTCAATCGGACATCAACTTAGTTTATAACGATGCAGAAATCCATGCATACCAATGAACAACTCGCAATTACGAAAAGTCAGCAAGGGAAAATGAGGACATTGCGTTTCTCTAAAAGAATTTTGTGGAGATAAAGTATTTAGGGGAAGCAGTACAGCTACACTTTGTGCTTTTCTGGTACAACAAAATGTGTGAAAAGAGGTGGGTTTTCAGAATGCCGAAGTCACTGCCTACTTCAAAAACCTGCCAAATGAATTTAGAAAAGAGTTAGGATGTTCACACACACACACACACACACACACACACACACACACATTACGCACTTAACTGTCAATTTGCATGATAGTGCAATCCATTGATAAACGTCAAAAGGGGGATTATACCCTAAAGTGGCATTTGGAGATATTGCAAGGGGGCTTAGTGCCATGGTCGTCAGTTCAGTGGGCATGACTGCACTCGTGGCAGGTCGATCGATAAGTGAACTCAACCAACCGATCAGAATCCAGTGCCCTCCACGACCCCTTGGTCTGTCCCCTTTCTTGGAGCCATGCAAAATTAAAAACTAGTCTCTGACTAACTTTCCCCCTCCCCCCAATGTAGTAATGGCATAAGTTCTTTTTTAGTTCAAGTTAATAGTAAGTCTGTGGAGGCTTTACATCAAAAATCTGGTGGTGGTTCTAGGGTAAATTAATCATAAATCAAGTCAGGTGCTTTCGAAACGTGACACTCGCATGACATGGAGTGAAAAGTAAACTTGTGAATACTTAATCGCTTCACTACAAGCACTAATGGACAAGAACTTTGTGATGACGACCGGATTTATCCATCTTGCCTGAGTATACGTTGTGTCATCGCCTCAGGCCTACAAGCACTTAGTTCTGAGTCATCTTTAAGGATGGCCTCCATCCGGTTCACACAAACCCACCCGAACATCGCTACATTTACCAGCCATTATCGTTTTGGATGGGCTGAGCAGCACCGGTAA